GAAAGCACGCGAAAACTCCAGGTTATAGGTAAAACCAAGTACATCCCCCACCCCATGCATTTGTCAGCAATCAGCCCCTAGTGTTACTATGGCAACCCTGATATATATGGTGCCTTATCTAAGCTAGCAAGGTAGAGAAGTCTCCAAGGCCAAATCCCATGAGAAAAGGCCAAAGGGTACAACTTAGGAAATTGTTATGGCTACTACTGGCATTCACGCTAACAACACATTCACTCCCCTCAGGAATCCCCTCCCCCCAATACATGGCAAGGAAAGCAGTGAAGCAAAACGAAGTGAAGCGAAACTGAAACCTTGACAGCTGTCAGGCAAGAAAATTCAGCAGCCACATCAGCCCCCTTCTTCGCCTCCCTAGGACGGCCAACCTGAGACTGGCCTACTCTCTAGCCCCAATGCAGTGACCTCAGGAACAGTATCAGCCCAAGGTGACTCTGTTTTAGGGGTTACATCCAGTACAGAAAACCTGTTGGAGGTGGGAACACTGAACTCAGGAGAATCAGGCAGAACTAGAAAGTAATCAATTCTACTTTACGGCATAGACTCCGTCCATTTTCTTGATTGCTTATGTGACCCCCATGGCTCCTCCTCCCAGTAAAAAAGAAAGTCCAGAATAGCTCAAGGTGAGCTGGGCACAGTTTACTATCATTCAAGAAGTTAACTCTTGAAGCAGACTGGAAATTTCAGTCACTCTCAAGATCCTTTCACAAAATTTTGGCCACACTCCATATCCCTTCAGGACTCTTCAAAAATCCACAGTACAGTGCCTCAAACTGCTTCAAACTGCTTCAAACAGTAGATGACGCCGCACTGGCAGATGACTCAGCACTCTTTGATAATGTACATGTAGAAGCAGATGCAGAAAGGTCGCCCCAGGAGATGGCTAGCTGCTGATGCAATATTTCTGTCGTAGCTAGAGATACCCAGAGCAGGGAAGTTCCTCTGGACTGCACCAGATATCCAAGACCAGAACTCAAGGAGAGCTAAAGGGAGAGCCAGACTGTGTCAGATGGATGACACAACTCCAGTTCGGCAACAAACTTTCCTTTTCTCCTTTTCACTAGTATCTGAGCTTCCAACAATCATACAAGCTTGTGGATGACTTTAGTATTCCCACTAGGACAGGGACCAGAGGATTAACGGCAGAAAAACAGGTGTGGGGAGGGAGATTCTACTGGCAGCACCCAAGAAATAAATCATAGCAATGCTATGCTCAGAGCAAATGCCCAGAGATTAGCAAAACTAATTTTATAATTGTTTTCTCGGAGTCAACACACTGTTTCTCACTTGCCTGCAAATTGCAGTCCGTGAAGATAAGATAAGTAGCCACCAAAGAGTGGAAGGCCAAGTCAGGAAATGTTTGAATCTTTACAAATTAGGAAAGACTGTAATTCTCTCCCCCAAGACTTCAAGCTTCAAGCCAGCTGTACTTTATCAAAATGTAGTGCTCAGAGTAAAATAAAACCACCACGATATAGGTAGGAGCATCACACCATTGTGTCTACTCAGGACACGGTATTGGCTCCTCCACCCGATATTTAGTCTTATTTTCCAGGAGAAGCTATTGGGTAGCAATGAAAGAGAACTACAGAATGTTTTGGCCTTAAAGGAGCCATGGGCGAGATAAGTATCAGGGACACAATGCCAAGGAAGGTGGGATTAACTGCTTATTTTTTAGCTTATTCTGCAGACTCTAGGATGCACATACTGTTGGAACTGGTAAGAAGCTTCTAGAAGTTGGTTGGTTTATGAGGAAATTGGTGATTTTTCCATTCATTTCTTTGAAGCCCCACATGAAAATACCTTTCCCCAACAAGGGATGCTGGATGTTGGAATAATGTTGTCAACTCCAGGTTGGGGAATTCCTGGAGATGTTGGGGTGGAACCTGAGGAGAACAGGGTTTTTTCCAGTGGGTATAATGCCATAGAATGCACCCTTTGAAGTTGCCATTTTCTCCAGGGGTACTGGGAGGTCTCCAGGCCACACCGGGAGGTTCAACCATTTTGGCAACTTCCACCTTTCCATATTTGAAATGGCCTCAGATTAGGAAAGGAGAGATTTAACAAGGGAGACAGGGATATAAACTGAGCCTTGACCATAAATCTCCACTGGCATAAGGGATTTTGGTCCGGGGAACGGGACTTCCTTGCCACTCTTTGCACACTAAAGTCTTAAACTCTCCTGGTAGTCCCTGGCCCAAGGGATGTCTGACTGGCCTCAACTAGGGCCAGGGCTTTCTCCGCCCTGGCCCTTGCCTGGTGGAATGAGCTATCATACAAGATCAGGGTACTGTGGGACCTAGAAGAGAAGAAGAAGAGATTGGAGTCTCAGAGCGGCTTACAAACTCCTTTCCCTTCCCCTCCCCACAACAGACACCCTGTGAGGTGGGCGGGGCTGAGAGAACTCTGACACAAATTGCTCTTTCAGGAACAGCTGTGCCAGAGCTTGTGACTGAACCAAGGCCACATCAGCAGGTGCAAGTGGAGGAGTGGGGAATCAAACCCGGTTCTCCCAGATTAGAGTCCGCACACTTAACCACTACACCAAACAGTTCTGCAGGGCCTGCAAGACGGAGCTCTTCTGCCAGACCTTTAGCTGAGGCAGCGGGCATCCATTCCGATTAGGCCTCCCCCTCAGTGACGGCAAATCCTGGAAGCCAGTCTGGGACCACAGTATCTGCCGTTGAGGCGCATCGTTGTTTAAATGCTGACGAGTTTAGTGAATGATTTTATGGATTTTAATTGATTATTGTAATATGTTTTAATTTGTAAATCTTAATTAATTGCGCATATATATATATGTGTGTGTGTGTATGTATGTATATATATATGTATATATATATATATGTATGTATATACATATACTCCATGTATTTATATATATGTAGCTGTCCTAAGCCTACAATGTGGGGAGTAGGGATGTGCATTCGGTTCATCTGAACCAAATGCGCCCCCGAAAATGGCCCATTCGGACCCCTTTCGGGCTGCTGCAGGCGGCAGATTCAGTGGCAATTCAGCCCCATTATATCCTATGGGCCATTGAAGTCAATGGTGAAAACATAGGGTATATTCTGGGGGTCTTTTAAAACTCATAATATCATCTCTGACAAATGAGAACAATGGAGGGGATAGGGGCAACCTGTTTGAGGGCCCGTAGAATTGGACCCCCTGGTCCAATGCTCTTGAAACCTGGTTGGTATCTTGGGAAGTGGCTCCAGCAGCTACCCTGTGAGTTTGGAGTCTCTCCCTCAAACCCCCTCCCCTCCAGCCCCCAGAATATACCCTATATTTTTGCCATTGACTTCAATGTCCCATAGGATATAATGGGGCTGAAATTGACATTCGGCTGGCTGAAAGACTCCCAAATCTGCTCCTACTGACAAAACTGACATGCGGGAGTCTTACTGCCAGCCGAAATTGATTCTGCCCGATTCGGCTGAATCCAAATGGGCCGAATTTTTTTTTTTTGCACACCCCTAGTGGGGAGGGCGGGATACAAGTTCAATGAAATAAATAAATAAATAAATAAACACCCCCTGAAATACTGCTCCTTGAATATAGGGCTCCCCAGGAACAGAATTGGGGAGGAATTGGTAGTCTGCAGGGGGAGGGGCTAATCAGCAAAGGCTGCAGCCCACTTTCGCTCCCACCCTTGCAGCACTCAGTAAACAAGCACTGTTAAAGTTGAGTTCCTTGAAGTACATCCGACTGTGAGTTGGGTTGTCTGCCTGTGACCCAACTCATGTCGGTTGTATTGTGTAATTTGGCCCTCAGTCACAATTCTACAGTTCTTTCTTTCTTTCTTTCTTTCTTTCTTTCTTTCTTTCTTTCAACTGTTCACCTTGTTCCTCAGGGGACAGCTTTACAGAAATGAGCCTCACTGATGTGTTGTGTTACCGATTAATTCCTCAAAGAATTTAGCACGTCAGCAAATGGCTCATTTCACACTTAGCTTTGTTGCTGCCGCAGTCTTAAGGGCATATCAAAATCAGAATTTTAACTCCTTTGTAAAAATGATCAAAGACCCCTGTGCTTGTAGCGTTTGTAGCGGCAATCCCAGTTTTGATGCCTGTGGATTAGACAAAGAGTGGTGTTGGATTTAACTTTTCAGAGTGAACATTTTAATGGAGACAGGTCTAAAACATGGAGCTCTGTCATTATGGGGGGTGAGAGACGCACCCCAAACTGTTGTGATCTCAATTTCTTCAACGTCTGTTGTTTGCCTATGAGAAGAAACCGAAGAATTCAGCCAAAGGTAACTCTTGTGGGAATTTCAGTATTTTTCTCCCCCGCAAAATATGTGCATGGGCATTGGTTGATAAGGATGTTGTTTCACTGCATGATATAGTTGTAAGGCTGAGTCAAATGTGAGCTGATATATTCTGTATCCAATGAGTTCTTCATTAATTGCTTGTTAGAGTAACCTATGAAATCTGAGATGGAGAAGGATGACAAGTCCCTTAGGAAAAAGAAGCGTTTAAGCAAATGTTTGTTTAAAACACCCAGAATGAATTGTAGGCAACTACACACACACGCACATATTTGCTTATGCCTAAAGAGTAGGGTTGCCAGCTCTGGGTTGGGAAATACCTGAGCTGAGTTTGGGGCATAATGCCATAGAGTTCAATTCCCAAAGCAGCCATTTTCTCCAAGTGAACTGATTTCTGTTGCCAGAGATAAGTTGTCATAGCAGGAGATCTCCAGCCACCATCTGGAGGTTGGCAACATTATATCTATATGCCTGGAAACAGATATGTCTTTCATGACTGTCTTACAGCCAGGTGGGCAACCGTGTTGGTCTGAAGCAGTAGTACAAAATTAGAGTCCAACAAGAAAGGGGACCCCTGAAAATCGCG